CACACACCTGGAGGCATCAGCTGTACTCCCTGTGGTGGAGGCCCAGGCATTAATGAGCTCATGAGTGGGTTGTCAGTCGGTGGACCATCCAACTCCCCAGGAATGCTGTAAGGTTCAGATGGACTGGGCTGGTCCAACTCAGAGCTGGGACTGCTGCATTCGTACTGTGTAGGAGTTGTTCTGTCTTCATTGTATGTGATCACCCCCGTCTGAAAAAAAACAAAACAAAAGAAAAGCATAAATCATTTGTTACGTAGGAACAAGTGGGAAAAACATTGCCTATGCCAGTTCTTCAGAATCATTGTGAAAAAAAAGAGAATAATTCAAATAGCATAAATGTAAGTTGAAATTCCAGACACAAAAAAATACAACCATAACTAAATGCCTTACTTTGAATATCCTTTGTGTAAACAGAAATAAGAACACACAATAACAAACATCGACAAACACTTCTCCTCCTCTTCCTCCTCACCCTGATCTGTCCGTCCAGCTGTCTCAGGTGGATCAGCCATTCAGGCTCATTGAACAACTCCTGCTCTGGCTTCTCCTTCAGTTGTGGGTCAAAGAATCGCAGCTTTTCAGACATCTGTCAACAAAAAACATAAAATTACATTTGTTAGAATACCAAACCTGGTACGCATCTATTTGTTTCTGAATAGAGGAGCTACAGAGGGAAAGACGACAGCGAGTGGATACCTGTATGATTTGGCTTATGAAAACAGGGGAGTAGTAGGCAGGCTGCATGAGGACAGTCCGAGAGATAACTTCACAGTAGTGGAAGGCCTGAGCACACAGGCCTGCTTCAGCCAAGCGGCATGCATAGATCAGCTTGAACACCTAATGAGAGACAATAGAAGGGCAGAGAACAGTGTTATAATCTCAAAATCATGTTCTATACCCTACAGGGAGGGAAATTCAAACACTTCTTTAGTCATCTACACGGACCTTTTCAATATCATCAGTGCAATCAATTGTTAGGTTTTTAGTACATATTTATAAGAGACAAACTGTGTGTTTGTTGGTTTATTCATTTATCTGTAAATACCAAAATATCTACCTGGAAATTGGGTAGTGTGCACGGCTGGGAGCCCAGAGATTGAGCATACTCATAGGCCTCAGTCCTCTGAATGGCTTCATTGGTCGCAAATTGGTAAAAGGGCAAACTGAAGTGAAGAAACAGTGATAAGGTTATATGTGACGCATGTTACAAGCAAACTGTAATGTTGTCTAAAAAGGTCCCATATAGTTGTGTGTGTGCCTGCCTGCCTCTAACCTGTGGTTGGCGCCAATCAGAACCATCTTGGTGCTCTTCTTTGTGAAAAATCCAAGACCAACTTGGGCCATCAAGTAGCAGAAGTGTGCAGCATCAATCAGGCCCTTGGAAGCTGCCACAAGACAAAATGAGACAGAAGGTGAGATAACATGTTTTGCTGTGGCGAAGAATAAAAACCCTTTGCAGTGCTGTGACAGACTGCCCTTTTAACGCAATCCTACCGAGAGTGTCACCCATGGTGGTGATTGTGCGAGTATCCAGGTCCAATGTGTGTGTGAGGTTAGACAGCACCATGGCCATGTGAGGGCGCCAGTCACCCCACTTCTCCTCTCCGCAGCACTATATGAATGCAAAACAATATGTGTGAGTGGGAAAAACATTGCTTATGCCACTTCTTCAAAATCATTGTAAAAAAAAAAAAAAGGGTTATGGGTTAGGGTTATAACAAGATAAATATTTACAGTGGCTGATGCAGGCATCCTCCCCGACATCAGCTGGTACACTGTCTGGAGAGGGTCATTGATGGGCAAACTGTTGGCAAACCTAAACAACAAAGACAGAAGAATTTAATACTGCATCTATAAATCTGTAAAAACAAACAGAGTAAAGGTGCAACCAAGTTTATGACTCACAGCCTTTTATGTCACTGGTACTTTACCTTGTCATGACACGTGCATGTGTCCTGTTATCCATTTTACTGGCCAACAGCAGGGCGTGGCCCCACAGGCCTCCCTTCATAGCTGCTTCTAGTGCATCCTATTTCATAGACAGAAGAATAGAAGTGAAATTAATTTCAGATTTCATAACATACTACTTAAATGACTATAATACAGTTGAAGAGGGTTATTTCTTTACCTTCTTGCGGCCAAACAGCAGCAGCTCCCTGAAGCGTTCCGTTTCCTTGCCAACGTTCTCTGGGACAGTCATGAAGGTGTCCGAAAGGAGCGATAGTGGTCCAGCTCCGGGCTCTTCCTCAGCTCGTGCCAGCGGCTCATTGTTAAAATCTATCAAGTTTGCTTCGTTAGGACTTTTGCCCGGTAGCCAGACAGAGCGGTGCTCCTTCAGCAAGAGGTCAGCGATGTCTGTGCCAACCACAGTCTTAACAAAAAGAGTATGACAGTGAGAGGATTGTTTCAGGCAACTATACAACATACACTGCTTTCAATTTTATGTCCGACATATTCTCAGTTATGTCTGCACAGTCTTACCCCGTTCTGTCTACAGAGCAGCATAATGAAGTCCCAGAGCAGACGGGCAGAGTCCCTGTCCAGGAGGTTGTTGTCTCGAGAACACTCCAGCGCTTTATTCTGGGAGAACTTTATCACGTCAACCTTATGGGTCTCCTCCCTGATTGACAGGATGCAAAATGAGTGCCCGTTCAGTAGTGACTAGTCAAACAGTATGCATTGTTTCATATACATTAATACATGATATGGCATTATTTAAAAGTAGGTGTAAATAGGTGGTTCGGAGCAAAATATGCAAAGTGGTAGGAAAGTGTTGAGGATGTGTGCTGATTTGTTTTTCTTATTAAAAAGTGCATATAAATGCATACTGATTTTGCCTATCTATAGCTACCAGTTATTATATACTTTTTTTAAGTTCTCCTCCAATAAGCCTCTAATATGCACCATACAAATTTTTAATAAACTATCAATCCTTTATCCCTTGTGGATGTCTGCCTCTCATTTCATGTTTCACTTTCTTATGGTAGAACCTAAAAGTATAGGTATAAGACCAACGCATAGGTGGTTTTGGTCTTTTCATGGAATTTGTTGTCAATAACAAAAATATAGAATTTCAACAACCTTACCCTTTAAAGGTTAGCGAATCAAAGCTATTTGTAATGGACAAAATGAGCAGAATGCACTTACTTAACAAGAGGGCCAGGGAAGGCTCGTAGTTCTGTCTGATCCCGGGTATCCTGGAGCATGGTCTGCAAACAGACATTCAGGTTCAGAATAATACTTCATAATTGTTTTAATTAAAGTCATATGCAAGTTATCTGAAAAAAAAAAATGCACAAGGAAAGCTACTATATTCAGACTTTTTCCTGTAAGGTTGAGCAACACGCTACACATATTCTGAAGAAGAAGGGCGTAAAGAAGCAGTTAGGGAGCTAAATTAAAAGTAGTGTAGTGTAGTGTAAAGCGTTACAGGGTTTTCAGTACCTTGCTCCATTTAAAAAGCAGTGTGAGGAAACAGTTTTACATAAAACTATGTAAAGAGGGCTAGTTTGCATTTATCATTTCCATGAAGAAAACAAAAAAGCAGAACCATATTCTGTTCTCTTTTCCGCTTTGTAGATGATGATTCATCACAACTTATGACATCAAAATAGCTTAACAGCAACATAAACACCCTATGCTTAAATCACTTCTTGCGGTCACCAAATCTTCATGAAATAAACGCAACGCTACAGTAAATTGCTGAAATACAGTGTGTTAAAAATGCACCTCCATGTTGTAGATATCAACGAGAGCAGGCTGTCCAGCTGAAGGGAGATTGGGCATAACTTGGACCAGATGACCACCAGGTCCAAAGCGGGCACAACGGTGGGGTATAGTGAACTTCTCTGGGGTTGCAGGACGAGGAGGAGCTGGAGGAAAAACATAAGTCAAACTAAGAGCGAGAAAAGAAGCCTGAGCATAATGACCCAAATCTAGTGGTTTAATTAGTATTTGACTGAACTCTGCTAAATTCTGTCACTCAATTACCAAATGTCAAACTAAGGATTTAACTCACGTTGCTCAGGGGCGATCCAGGTGCTGTCTGCAGTGTATTCGGAGGGATAGAGATACTGGCTGTAGTTCTGGGAAGCATCAGTCTGGTTTGGGTACTGTCCATATGAGTAGTCCACAGCCAAAGTGGATGCTGTGGTGTCGTAGACTGCTGACACCAAGTCAGGCTGGCTTCTGTAAACCTGGCTCTGCAGGGCGGGAAAACAAATGTACAGAGATGATTATTAAACAGGAAGACAAATAAAACATAAAAGCGCAGACCCACATATTGTAAGGTGAGCATATTCAGAAGACCAACAATGAGCTCATTTTAAGTGAGTCAGTATCTATATCTAGTTTTTATAGTTTTTAAGTGTGGAGTAGATTTAGGGTGAGAGCAGAAAGAAGTTTGTCTGAAATGTCAACACATATTTTTCACTCAATCCATTATCAACTATCCCACTTTTCTACGCATAAGCTATGCTTCTAAATAGTTGACTATCCTAAAATTGTCAAGGAACTGTTATGGATGAAGCAGCTAAATGATCATGAGACAGCTTGAAAGCATAGCTAATAGTAAAGAGAAGAGTAGGCATGTCATGGGAAAGCAACCACTAGCTGCACCCTCAAAAAAAAAAAAGAAAATCAATGCTAAAACGTAACAGAAGAACATCCCCTGAAGCAAATAGTTCCGCATTTTAGGAAAACAGACTTATTTACTTTCTTTCCTCTCGATACAACTCTGATGTTTATGACTATATGAAGTGGTTTCCTGTTGTTTCCAGTCTTTATGCTAAGTGAAACTAACTAGGCTGTACATTCATATTTAGCAAATCTATACTGTAGGAAAAGTGTCTGAATTGCTCTTGTGTCTAGTAGAAATGAACAACCTTACAATAAACTAAGGGAAGATGAGAGCTTTACTAAACATATTCCCACACTGTTCTTCCCTACTCATTTCTGATGTTTAGAAACACAACTACAGCTCACAGAGGGAGTCAAAAAATCCAATACTTGCTCAATGTTGTTGTCCTAATTTCAGCACCACACAATTCACTTTGAAGAGCATATCTAAATCTGAATAAAGCCCATTTCAAAAATTGAAATTAAAATGAAATTTTGCCATTTTAATTTATTAATGAGTTCCATAGCAGTCTTTAAACCATTTCTGTGAAATCCACAGCCACAAAAGTGCAGAAAAAACAGAGCTGTCAGGTATGCTATAATGAAAGTGAAATTAAAATGTACCTGTTGTGACCGTGAGCTGAAGCTGCTTCGTCTGCTGTTGTGGCTGTTAGAGCTGTGCACACTATGTGCCGACTGCTCGCTGTGAACACTGCGCCGGTCAAAGTCATCACCGTACGTTTCTCCACGACGACGGTAATCGTCATCAAAACTGGCATCATAACCAGGGTAGTAACGCCACTGATCATCATAGCCCTCTTTCCTGTGAGTAGAGTGTACAGTGTGAATCAAGCAGCACTTCCATCTTTATGAAGCAATTTGGCAAATCTATCTGTTGCGATGTAGCATGTAGTCCATGAAAAGTCATAAATGTAACATACACAGCAGAAGAAAACACTGTAACATGTCTAAAAGTAACAATCATCTGACAGATTGCATTTATAACCTTAAAGTTCTCTACCTGGCAGGAGGATACATCTGTTGATTATAGTAGGGGTCTCTGGCTCTGTAGCTTTCATCGTAATTAGACCAGTACGACTGATCATAGTATCCTCTGTACCGCGGGTCATACTGCCCATAGTTGTATGCTTCTCACAGAAAATATGAAGAGAGAGAGATTCACATCACAAACCATTTATATACACAGACAGATTTATAACAAATACAGAGAAAAAGAAGGGAAAAATCTTATAGATTCACACGAGTAAGCAATGTCAGCTTGTAACTCTGTACCTCCATAATCATAGTGCTTGGTGTAGTCTGCATAATATTCATTATAGGCACTTCGGTTTGCTTTGTGGTAATCCTCAGGATAGCCTTGCCTATGGGAGAAAGCAAACAAAAGGTGAGGGTTACAGGTCAAGTGCAAGAACCATAAACATACTTCAGAGGGTCAAACTCACTAAAATAATGAAAACAGCGCATCCCGTGTAAATGATGTAAGACTGAGAAATGGTTTTACTGACCTGGATGAGGGCCTGTCAGAGTATTGACTGGCCCTTGAGCTGGGTCGGTCTGGCTGAGGCTCTCTGTACTGGTAGTTTGGATCACGATAAACTGGGGGCTGTCCTTCATATCTGCCATACCAAGGATCTGTTCTGCTCCTGTACTGACCATCCTGAGAGATAAAAGCATAAGATATTCCTTTAAGATATTCCTTTAATAGTCCCACAATGGGGGAATTCCAATTTATAATAATTTATAATGATAAATAAGGCATTTTCGGTTTACATTTCATGGCCGCTGTTGCTCACGCATTATATTCTTGTGCATTTTGCAATGTACATCTTAACAAAAAAAAGTTTTGGCAGATGAATACATTCACAAGCAAATGAAACAGGACTTCCACATACTTGATAATATTGCTGTGCCCTAGGATCCCCAGGTGGAGGTGGGTACTGGCCAGGAGGATATGGTGCTCTGCTATCCGGGTATTCTCCATAATTACCATAATAGCCTCCATACACCTGCCCTGGCACTGGAGCAGGCGGCCCATAGCCTTGCTGGCTGCCTGCAGCGGAGGGTGGTCGAGGTGGCTCTGCAGGAGCTGGCTGGGAAGCTCCTGGAGGTACTGGTCCTCGAGGCCCAGGAGGGTATGCAGCAGCAGCAGGAGGAGGAGGGGCACTCCCTGCAGCAGACCCCTGTGCTGGAGTTGGATACTGGCCACTGGAGGGTTGTGCTGCACTCATTGCAACAGGAGGAGCAACATTTTGTCCCTGCAGTGCAGCCTGAGAACCTGATGTCTTAGAAGGTTCAGCTGGTGGCGGCTGGGTGTTTGCAGCTGCTTGGGAGGGTGTTAGGGGTACCTGCGGGGTAGATGGAGAGGCAGGGGTCTGGACAGAGGGATCTCCTTTTGCTCTTAACCCCTGCTGAGCATCTTTGGTGACCTGTAGGTAAAATCCATTACTAGATTGTAGAGACTCATGTAGAGAGGAAGGATGGCCAGATGCTGGATGATTTTGGGCTTGTGATTGGTGCATAGAAAAATCAAGCAGTTCATAATTTGATGGCTGATTATGATTAGAGACAGAAGCAGTCATGAGCGAAGCCTGTGGATTAGCTTGGAGAGCAGAGTGGCCGTCTCCACCCAATGATTGGCCCCTTGAAAGAGGAGGGCGGGCTGGCTGAGACTGTGGTGGAGCTGCGATGTCTGACACTGCTGCTTCTGGGTTATCTCTGGTCAGATTGAGCGGGCCCTGGTAACAGACTGAAGAACTGAAGCTTACTGGTCCAGGGACAAACTGTGGATTTTGATTAGATGTTATTGCAGGTGGTTGGGAGGCACTGGCACCCTGCCCCTGTGCGAGCGACCTCACAGGTGGGGTAGATTCCCTACTTAGACTGGGTGCTTGAGCAGGGGCACTGGGGGGAATCACACTGTAATTGGACACTGGCGGGGCAATCAAAACAGGCTGGTGGAGTGAGTCGGACACAAGGAGAGACGCATAGCCGAGGTTGCCTTGAGAGTCGGCTGGCCCTGCCTCACTCACCTTTGGTGGGTTCTCTAGATTCTCTAAATGTTGCTGTGAAGTCGGCTGGATTCTCTGGGGGGGCTGCAGGTCCAGAGGGCCATCCTCTGGAGGCTGGATGACATCAGCACTGGGCTCTCGTAAAGGGGCAAGAACGGTCGGGGCGGCAGGGGCTAGGAGGATGTTAGCCCCTAAGCTAGCAGGATCATTCTGAGCCCACAGAGTAGTGGCAGGGCTCTCACACGGCCGACTGGCCCCAAAAGCACGCGATGAAGGTCGAGAGTGAGAATGAACCACGGGGTGTGTCAGGTGAGGCACACCACCTCCAGCTACGGCAGGTAGGGGGTGCCCCGGACCATAGATATTTTCCATGTTATCTGGTGGCTGCTCCAGGTTGCCAGACGCAGAATCTGCAACCCCTTCTGCTACCATGTTAGCCCTATCAACTTCAGGAGGACGCACCCCAACCCCATGTGAGCGCACGGGTTCAAAAGAGCTGTTAGCGCTGGCCTGGAAGATACCAGTAGGTTTGGGAGGACTAGGTGTGGGAGGCCACGTCTGCTCCAGGGAGGTCTGTCGCGCACCCATATCTGCAGCTGGAGAAGTGTCAATCTGCTCAAAGTAACCTCCGGTGGCAGCAGGCAGGTTGGCTTCATCAGTGAGACGTGGACTTTCCTGCTGAATGAAGGTACCTACTACTCCCTGATGCCGACGACTGCCGGTTCCACTTCCATGGCTCATATTGCTGTAGTTGGATGACACACTGGCAGATCTCATTGGTCTTGGAATAGAGTCAGGAGTCTCCAGGTTAGGCCCGGTTTCAAACTGGTCTGCTCCATGCGCTGCAGTAACGGCAGCAGCAGCTGCAGCGGGGCTGCCGTGGGTTTCATTCGGTAATACTTCCTGGTTCGGAACATCCAAATTCTCCACGTGGTCGTACTGGGAATCAGGGGGATTCTGGGCGACTCCCTGTGATGCATGGTGGTTGCCATCGTTCATGTATGGTAGGTGTGAATGATCTTGCACAGAAGGTCCTTGGTAATCCAGTGGAACATCTGCGTGTCCACCGTGGGCTTGTGGACTGCTGTGATGCTGAAAGGATCCAGGACTACCGTTCACTGCCTTGTTTCTCTCTCCAGCCAGTGTTTCTTCATTTTCCACGTCATTGTCTTTGAAGAACATTGAGAGTGTACCAGACTCCTGAGAGTATGGGACTGAGGCGGACGCAGAACTGGGCCCAGGCCCAGGGTTGGACACAGGTTGAGATCCAGCAGAGTCAGGCAGGGGCTGAGGATGGACCAGACCAGTCCCCATTTGGTGGTAGCCTGAGTCCTGTGGAGGCTGGTTGAACCAGTCCTGGGGGGTAGAGCTCTGACTGAAGTAGCCCTGGAAGTGGGAATTATGATGCTGGGGTGCATTTGGGTCAGGCCATTGAGAACTAGGGACCTTTCCAGGGTTCTGGAGAGGAAGAGGAGCCTGGTTCTGGGAATGACCAGGTTGTGTTGGAGGGGTGGGGGTGTTGTGATGGGGCGATGGGGTGTGGGAAGGGTACATCGGGGTCTGCGGCGGTAAATTAAAAGGCTGTGGTGGAGGGTCACTAGTAGGTTGGAAATAGTTCTGAACTGATGGAGGACGACTTCCATGATCAGGGACCCACTGGGAGGAGGAGGTGGGGGGAGGCACAGGCTGGAAGTGCACAGGCTGAGGAGGAGGCTGTCCTTGAAAATCCTGGTTAAAAGGCGTCAGACACGGTGCCGGAGGCGAGGCCACGTGCGGTGGCTCTGCGGCCGCGGATGGTGTTTGTTCTCTTGAATTAAAATAGCCCTGTTCACTATGAGGGGGTGCATATCCTGCTGGACCGGCTGCTTGGAAGACACCGGGGGATGCTACGCTGTGAGGGTTGAACAGCGTCACCCCTGGCAGAGACGACTGTGGTGGGCCGGGGGGAGCAGCTGTGGCGTCCTCCGGTGTATGTGGTTGCGGAGGCATCCCCGAGCCAGCTTGAGAGTACATGGTGTTAGGTGGGGCTTGCATTGGCGGAGGGTTGCTGTTGGGTATTGCCGGGGGACCACCTGCAGCCATGGGGGGAGGAGCTCTAACAAAAGCGAAAGGGTTTGTCATGGGTTGAGTAGCAGGCGGCATCGTGGCCGTAGCCGCTGCTGGATGCTTGTGAGGCCTGGGCCTGCGGAACATATTGGGCCCAGAAGGAGGAGGCCCAGAGGCTCCTGGAGGTCCAGTCCGAGGAGGGGGCTGCATGTCTGCAGAGCTAACGGGTCCGGGGACCAGGTCACTCTAGTAGATGTCACCGAAGAGACTGAAGTCAGGCAAAGCTGGGTAAAGAAAAGGAGAGAGGGACTGGTTAATAACAGAAAGCTGCACATGCCTCTGATGGAGTTTACCACACCTTTGTTTGTACATTAGTCTGTGAACGAACGGTACAACGTGGCAATTTCTACACGAGCTCCTAGATATTAAGACAAATACACCGAGTACAACACAACTGGCTGATTGTAACGCAACTTCGATTGCGGTACGTGACGCAATCTGCTCGACGAAAGCTTGGAGTTTTTCTTACTCAAAGACTTTAAAGAAACACGAGCACACAAACATTTGGAGTTGTGTTGTAGTAAAAAGTGCTTAAATCGTGTTTATGAGTGAATATAGCAACAAGGTGGTTTTTAAACAGCGGAAGGAAATCGGAAATTCTTAAAAAGCTTAAAACTACTTAGAAATAAATAATAACACCTGGTTTTGAATCGCAGGTTTTTTCTTAAGGTAATTTTGAATCTTGTGGCATCTAGAAACTATTGACACGATGGCGCAGTACCACAGTGCCACAGCTAATCTGTGAAGATAAAGTGAACATTGATCTCATCATTTAACTTTTCTAAACAGGAACTAGCTGAAATAACTCGTACGTGTCAAATAACTTGTGCTTTTGTGCAGCTTTATTGCCTTCTTTTTTTTTTTTTTTTTGGTGTGTGTGTCGTTTAGTTATTGGCGAGACATTTAGATAAAATATGCCACAAATACAAAACACAGGATCGATCCCCTGATGAGATTGCTTCATATATAAAAATCACACACACTGTGCATCTGTCCGCTGGAAGTTCCTGGGAGCATCTGAAAGGTTGGAAAGGGAGATAAATGAAAGAAAGAGGCAGTAGTCTTGGCCAGACAACCACTACCGACAGGATCCCGGATCTTTCAAGCACCCTGGGGGTTATAAATCCACCAGGAAGCTAACGATAGCGACAGTGAAACTCACAAAGTCAGCATGTTGAGACAAACGCTATCGACTTCTGGACCCACAATGTGTTGATCTCTAATCGGTACTTCACTCCTTTCTGTCCGGACACGACATCGAGGTCAACGTTACACATTAAGCTTCCTGCGAGGGAGGGGGGGGAAAGGTCTGGAGAGCTTACAGCTAACAGTAACGCTACATTGCTCTACATGTCCCCAAACGCCACAACCCAGCAAAAAAACCACACAAAACACACCGAAAATCCAACGTTAAAGTCTGGATTCTCACTTTAAAAACACTACCCGCTAACAAAACAAGTTGCCATTTTTTGTGTGTACGTTTTTCCACACTGACAGGGTTACACACACGTTACAGGTCCGAGCTGTAAGTGAACAGGTTCACTGCCTGCTCCCGCTAGCGTTAGCAGCGGCTAGTTAGCACTGCTGGCTAACTGGCCGCTGCTAACTACAGATGGGGTGGGGGGGGCACAGGTTCGAGCCCCGCTGCGGGCGCCGGGGTGAAACGTTCAGAGGAAAACGTCGTCGCTGGTGCTCTTACCCGATGTCGGAAATGTGTACGGATATAAATGGGTTTCTTACAAATGTGCAGGACAGTCGGTCTGACACACCGCCACCATCTTCAATGAACACATCCTACTAGGCTACGTGTACAAGCGGCGTCACGGGCCAAACAACGAGGGCGTCATCGCGGGGCGGGGCTTGTTAAAGGGTCATTTTTGTGTTTTTATGATAGATAGATAGATAGATAGATAGATAGATAGATAGATAGATAGAATGGATAGATTAGAAAGACTTAGTAGATAGATGATAGATAATTTGATAGATAGATCGATAGATAGTCCGAAGGAACATTATGCACTTAATGTAATGCGTGCATACAAGATACAAAACATACATTACACCTCATTAAACATACATTGACAAAAATTAAGAACCTTAACCTAAGAATAATATTAAAATAAAGTAAAGATAAAATATAAAATCCATTATATTCATATAATAGATAGATTGATAGATAGTAGATAGATAGATAGATAGATAGATAGTAATAGATAGGATAGATACGATAGATAGATAGATTATATCCCGAGAATATATGCATTACAAACACTACATTACATACATTAACCCATACATTGACACAAATTAGAAACCTTATACCCTAAAGAGAAAATTAAAATAAATAAGATAAAAGTATTAAAATCATTATATTAATATTTTTAATAATAATATAACGTAATAATCGACTAATGATAGACTAACGTCAGATAAATAGATAAGTAGATATAGCAGTAGATAGATAGACTAAGTGTTGTGTGTGTTTTAGTTCCAATCTTTTTTTCCCTACACTACCAGACATTTTTCCAAATACATGTCGAAACTTCATCGCAATTTTAAGCCACTAAACATGTCAGAAAACGGTCGTTAAATTACTATACCAAGCACCTTCTTTTACATTGCCCCTCCCGGTAAGCGAATTCATGTACTGTGCATTCATAATCTTGTCTAAATTCAAACCCACTGGGGAGCTAGCAACAACGGTCATTCTCTACATTCTAATTTATCTAATAAACAAGTAAGGAACAATCACTTGTCATACCTTCTGAAATGATATAACCGAACTGTTTCGAGAATACTTGTTGTTTTTTCCTAGTTCACATTCTGACTCTGAGAAAAAGCACAGCTGTCCTAATAAACATAAAAAGAAAGTAAAACACATGAAAAATCAGCTGTAATGAGAAACCTAAATCAATGCTGTCCATTATTGATAATAAATACCACCTTGTTTTTTCTATTACTAAAATGCCTATTCATATAGGATGCCTAAATGGTGGGGAGTGGTGACATAGGAAAAGGTGCGCACCACGCTATGGTGTCTTCGCGAGCTCGTTGAAGAACACGACCGCCGACGGATGGTCGTTGTTTGTCGATGTGAATTTATCATAAACAGCATGATGGTGAATCGCGTGATGTATCGTTTTCCGCCGCGTGATCTGATGAGTATGTGTCAGTCGTAGTCGTGGTTGCCGCGCGGCTATGCTATGCGTCGAGGCGTGTGCGTATCTGTTCGTGTGCGTGATGCGCGCGGCGATCGTATCTATCTACATTAGACGTGGGGCGTGGATGTTAGAACATGCATTGCAATCAGAAATCTAACTTCTATCAGTAGCCATACATTAAATTTAACCTGAGATCAATAATATTGTAATATTATTCCAGTATATTTGTCAGCAATCCACAGGAAAAAAATATATTATTTTATTATTTTATATGTATACATTTTGTTGTTGTTGTAATTGTTTAATTCAGTTGTCTCTGTGCTGTCAGAGTAATGGAGGGGTGGGAGGGGATTGTTATATGTTATATGTAGGAGTGAGTGTGCAGGCGTGAAAGCCGCTTGCTGCCTGTTGCGTTACAAAGTAATTTCCCCCTGGGATTATTAAAGTATTTCTGATTCTGATTCTGATTCTGATATGTCCAATATTTGTCATGTATGGTTATCTTTTGTCCTCTCGTTTTCAACAGACAGTTTAAATGGAGTCCAAATGGAAAGTGAAGTTCTAGATTTGCTATATATAGATATTATATAAACAGGGTTGATACACATGTTGATTATAGGTATATTTTACATATTTCTTTTAATACATTTTCCATTTTTCTTTATGTTTTAATTGTGACAGTCCAGCACTAACACATTGCAAGACATTGAGAGCTACCTGGCAGTTTAAAAAAGCAGACAGCTTTGTTATGTCATTTGCACATTTTTAATGTAGGGCTTTGCTAATCCCAATGGGGCTAAATTTAGGTGGTGCAATAGCTCAAACGACAGGTTTAACAAGTAAATCAAGGTAGAAAGCTAGACACAGTACATTACCCTACACCTGAGTGCATAAATGAAACATATGGGGAAAACCAGTACAGCAGGTTGCTTATACTGCAGAACAAAGTCATATAGATACAGCATATTTATATATAAAGTTATGAGTATGCATAGGAACTATATTCAAGAACAATGTGTATAAACATCAAATCACTGTACATTATACAGTCAAGATGTATGTGTATATGCAACAACACATGCAATACGTTATAGTCCAAAAGGTAAGAGCCAAAAAAGATAAGAAGCAAAAATATTTAATAAAATATTTATTGTAGGCATTTTTCCACCAGGGGACGCTATGGTGTTATCTATATAATCTCTAGTACCTCATTGACCACATTGAAAAAAAAGTTTTCAGTAATTGCTAATTAGTGTCATGCAACTAGATATTAAATACTAGTATATTGTCTCGTATCTGGTCTCCTTTCCATCTAAAACCTTTATTTTGACATGTTCAATATTGAAACTCTTTGGCTTATAAATTCACTGACACAGGATAAAACTTATAGCAGTATACCAACAGGACATTCATTTTTATAGAATGAAATGACTAAACATTAAAATGGTTACAAATACAGATATCTGGGACATGTGATTGATTTATTGTGACTATGGATCTTCTTCTTAACATCTAGTCTACTAATATGTTATAATATGTTATGTATGTGTATGTCAGTATGAAGCATCTAAATGAACAATTAAACTCAAAAACATACCACTTAATAATAATAATAATGCATTATCTGACTTTCAATGCTACCACTAATCCCCCTCATCATGGGCAATTTACATGAGACATTAAGTACATGAAAGTCATCCCCCGTTTTCAAAGGAAATGGAAAAATCCACCTTGAGAAGTATGGTCAAACAAAGCGAATGACAGAAACCACACACACCTCGAGCAGAGTTCAAACACCCACGATACACGCCGATCTAATGTAAGTCTTGTTCACACACCTCTCTTTCCTTTTTTTGCTCAGACTTGTTAACCGAAACCTACCCTCCCACTAGACTGTGTCTTGAGACTACGGGGCCACGGGGCAGGTTGAAACAGACCTTCACGTTTACACTGAAAACCCCCTGGCTTGTCCTCTTGGTGCAAGATCAGTGTGTTGAGTAATCCCAAGCTCCATCTGTGTGAAGACTTGTAGCTGGTGATCAACTTGTCAGAATGTAGTACTGTATCTCTCAGAAGTAGGATGAATCACAATGTAATACAGTATAAAACTGACTGTTTCACGTTATTCAGAGTTAATGTAATATAATTTTAACACAGGTTTTATTGATCAATATAACTACAGTCATCCCTTCCAAGAATTATATAAGTGTAATAAGATTTGATTATTTCAAACGACCACAAGGAGTTTTTTAACTGGTTGTGAAACAGTCTCAATTCAATACTGATGTCTCTATATGACTAACATAAGCAGAGAAGATTAGCTATTTCTATATAGTTATTCAAGAGTCAGTCAGATTCCCCTTGAAATCAATGAAATTAGGCAATGGCAACACAGGGGCCACAAGTTCCTAATCGCTGCATTAAGTATGATTAGCTAATGTGTTATACATCTCTTATAAAGTAATAAGCACTTGATGTAATAATGGGATTTTATGACAAGGTCTGGTAAAGTGTAGTATTGAAAGGCCTTTTTATTTTAACAGTTTTAGTACAATGATAATAAAAAAGTGGTTCACATGGAAATGAATAACAGAAACATAACATTTCACTTGAACCTCCCACTCTCATCCCACTATTCAGAATTTAAAAGCACTGTATAGATATTCAATAAAAACATAAATACTAGATTAAGGTATAAGGTGTTTTCTTATTTAACTGATCATGAAGAAAAAAAACAGTAAAACATGTCTTCATAAAACTCTTGCACTCTTATAAACATGTCCTTGTATCTGCTTACAACTTTATTTTAGTGTGTTACAAACACTTTCTGAAGCACATTTATAAAAAACTGTTTCTATAGTGCAAATGCTACAGAGGGGATAAAGTAAAGTAAAGTGTAACCACATAACTGAGGATGTAGTGCTGTTACTGAAGTTGCTATTTAGGTGTTACATGTAGGTACAGTACGTACACTGTTTGTTTCTCACACTCACTCACCACAGTAGGCAACATCTGCACCCTTACAAATAAAAACACACACCCTAACCACACACCTCACTTTTCTCATTTCGTGTTTCAGCTTACCCTGGCTCATTTGACAACTGAAAAAATGTGTTTGTTGTTGTTTAAATTAGAATATAACGTTTGTGTATGCAAAAAAGCAAAAGCTGTAGAAATAACCAATTTTAAATTAATTGAGAACTCTTAAGGGACCCATGTTAATTCTCATGTTTGAGAGAAAAGTGGCAGTTGCTTTCCGCTGAAGAGGCACTCAAACCTCATCTCTTCAACACAGTTGTCCATGGCCAATCAGTGATATCTGTGGCCCACATCACTTCCTATGGGTACACTGTGTATGTGACACTGACATTGTTTGTCCTCAGAGACTCTATCTACCCTGTCATTAAGGTGTGTGTTTACAGGAAAACTATGAGAGTGGGCATGTTTGGTTAACCACTATCTAAACTCCTGATAAGCCCCCAAATATCAACCTGAGCCCTGCGGTCTGTTAATGGCGCAGGGTCTCTGAACAATAGCCCCTGGAGTGAGTTCATCCCTGCTGAGGCACGTATGCTTGTAATCAGCTGTCAAATTTGGCAGGTGTGTGATGACTGAGATAGGAACTCAGCAGAGAGATCATTTTTTGAACTGTCAGAGGAGGGAATAACAA